AATGGGACCACTTCGACAACACCAAGGCCAGCCTGGGTAAGATGGAGGGCCTGCAGATATGGGAGGAGTACAAGGAGATGATGGAGACTGGCTGCGAGTTCCTGCGCGCCGAGCTGAAGAACCCGTGCGTGGCAGCCTACAACAACGACATCATGCTGAAGATCGCGGTCGGCTTCCAGGATGCGATCAGGCTGGACATATTGGCGGTCATCTGCCTGGAAGCGATGAAGTTTGTCGTCCCCATGGCGCAGGACTTGGAGTGGGCAGCACCCTGGGTCCTGAAGCAGTACGAGACCCAGAAGCATGTCATTGGCTGGCTGGAGGCACCCATGGGCAGTTCTGTCGTGTACGATCCAGCCAAGAGGAAGGCCCGCACAGTGAAAGCAGTGAAAGCCGTGAAACCCCCTCCCAAAAAGAAGGCGAAGAAAGGCTCCAACTCTGGATCCACTGCTGTGCCTGAAGAAGAGATAGAGTTACTGGTCGAGGCAAAGGCGGGCGTAGAACGGCGCGAGAAGAAGTGGCTGGACGACCTCGCAGGTGTTGTCGCATCGCCTTTGAAGCTGCTTCCCACAGGGCCTGAGATCATCAAGACCGAGCCCATTCGGAAGTTGTTCCGCGTTGGCCTCCAGTTCGCGTTCACTGGCGAGGTGAGTTTCAACGGCAAGAGCTTCACGGCCTGGAGCAAGCTGCGGAAGGAGCTTCGCGATGAATGCATCACGATCAACGCGGATAAGTTCAAGGCCGTGCACAGAGCAGCCGCCGGCGCCGCCAGTGGCAGTTCGCCTTCGACGGCCGCGGCAGAGGGGGACGACATCGCCGAGTTCGTGGCGAAGCAGCTGGGTGAGGATGAGGAGCAGAAGTTGTCGCCCACTACTGCCGCCGCTTACCCGTCTCAGTTCAGCAAGTGGCTTACCTTTCCAGAGTTCGTGATCCGCATGAGCAAGTTCGCGTCGGAGAACGACCTAGACGATCCGAGGAAGCACCTGGCGCTGATCGGCCTGACAGAGCACGTGTACGGGGTCTCTCCTTCCACTCCTTATCCTCTTCCCCCTTCTCCTTCTGCTTCCTTCCTCTCTCCTCCTTCCCATCCATCCCCCCTCCTTGCCCGACGACGCCCGACATCCTCATCCTCTCATCCTCCTCCCTTCCCCATCCTGCCTCATCGCCCTCCTAGGTCCAGCTGGGGAAGGTCCAGAAGGCTGGCAAAGGTGGTGCTGGAGCCGCCGATATGGCACCGCTGACTGTGGATCAGGTGATCTCTACTATCGCACCTAAGATTTTCGACGCCTGGGGTTCCGATTGGGCCGAATACTGCGACGCCGCCAGGAAATACCTTGCCCAGGGGGAGCACTCCGCGCCAGAGCTGTCGGGGGGGCCTTCCAGGATTCGAAATCCATGATTGCGTACCTGTGCATGAGGGCCACCTACGCCGTTGAGATCGTCGATATCGTAATCCCGAACGCCCTGCCCAAGTCGCACCTCGATACTATCCGCGGGACCCCAGAGACTCCAATGCAACCCGCAGATCGGGAAGGAGAGGGAATAACAAGAGGAAGGGAGGAGGAGGAGGACGAGGAGGAGGAGGAGGAGGAAGAGGAGGAGGAGGAAGAAGAACAGGAGGGTGAGGAGGAGGAGGGGGTAGCGAAGATGAGGAGGGTGCGAAGGCAAGAGTGGAGAGGATGATGAGGAGGAGCATGAGAGACTGGCAAGAGGCGAAGAGGAGAAACCATGAGGAGAAAGAGGAAGAAAGGAGGAGAAGGAGAGGGAGGATAGGGAGGATAGGGATAGAGATGATATGCGAGCTGGCCCCTCCAGGAACATCGAACTGCTGGCAGCGATCGAGCTAGCTGCGACCTCGGCGCAGGACTGGGCCAGGGTCGTCAGTCACCTCTTGCGTAAGTGCCAGATGATCGAGGACAGCCAGGACAGCGCGGCCGTGCTCGAAACCCTCAAAGCCGAGAGCAGCAAGGCGGCGGCAACGGCAGATCCGCCAGACCCTCTTGCAGCAGCTGCGGGGCCAGAGACGGCGGCGGCACCTCCAACGGCTCCAGCGGAAGCTCCGGATCAGGGGGACGGCAAGGCGGCGGCGGCAGCGGCCCCTCCGGCAGCAGCGCAGAGAAAGCTGCTGACAAGCCTGGACTCCATCAGGAAGATCTGGACCACCTCCGAGGAGTCCTCGCCGCCCTTGCTGATGTCGTTCATGAAGCACGTGGAGTGCTTCCTGTTCGACCAAAGCCTGAGCGTGCCTGGTGGGACCCCCGACGCTGGCCTCTCCCATCTCGCAACCGACCTCACGGACAGGAAGTCAGAGGTCACCTGCACGACTGTCACTGAGGATCTGAAGTTAGGTTTCAGAGGAACTGTCACGAGGGTCGGCGCAGCGGGGCATTTGCCGCTGTGCAAAGCGTTCGGGCAAAGCTTCTTCCTCGCGAGACCGAAGGAGAACAAGTTCGTGGAGAATGACAACGCTGTTGCCGCGTGGCACGTCAAGACAGTGACCGCGAAGGATCGCGCCATTGTCAAGGTCATTCGGGAGGAGAAGAAGTTTGGGTTTGACTTCTACCTCGGGCCCGAGCCCAAGAGGATAGAGGTCCAGGTCGCGTTCTACTACCTGGTCCCGATCGAGGGCAAGGTCGGCATGACCGATCGCAAGCTCGAGATGGAGGCGTCCGATTTCTTCGTGAAGGATGACGCCGCCGCCAAGGCGGCGGCGACTGTGACCATCGCGCCTCCTCCTCCTGATGGTGCAACTGCGACACGGAAAGGAGCCGCTTTTTATATTCAGATCAGTGTTCGGGTGTCTTTGTTTCTTTTGAAACTGATGGAGGTCCTTTTTGGTGCCGAGTGGTTTCGGTTTCGGGTCCAGGGCAACTTGAATGTTCAGCGACGCGATGTTTTCCCTGGTTGGTAACCTCCCCCATCTAAACCTCACCCCTGTCATGTCAGGGGGTCGGAGAGAAAGGAGGGCGACCGAAAGCATCGGCTTCCAGTGCCGCCTCCGGGGTACGAGAACGCCAAGCACTTGTTCCGCTAGGCTGACTCACGTGTGGCGTTTGGGGCGCAGTAGTATCCCTGCCCATGCCTGCCCATTGCCTTGCAGAGGTCGGGCGGCTAGGAGGAGGATGAGGATACAAAAAAAAGGAGGAGATGGGCGAGGAGGAGGAGGAGGAGGTGGACGAGGAGGATGAATGAGGGAGGAGGAGGAGGAGGTGGAGAAGGAACAGGATGAATGATGAATGATGAGGGGGAAGAGTCCGAGTCCGACCTAGGAATCACCAGGAGTGCTCTGCTTTTCGAGCGGCGATCCGCCGCTCGGACTTTTACAGGGGCGTCAGACTGTCAGACATTTCCATGTTGGGCCAACCATGTTGGGGCATTGTACTTACCCTTGGCCCTTGGCCCTTGGCCCCCAGCAGCCCCAGCAGGGCGGAACGTGGTTAGTCCACGGTCGCCCTTTCGCTATCCTCTGATCCTCTGGCTCGGATGCCGCTCGCGTCGAGCTGCAAGAAACAAAGAAGCCCAGCGAGAAGAGGAAAGGCAATGATAGGACCTAGGAGGTCGGTAGCGTGGAGAAGGGATGACGATGAGAAACTGTTGAGGAGGAGGAGTAGGAAGAGGAGGAGTGGGAGGAGGAGGAGGAGGAGGAGAAGGAGGAATAGGAGAAGGAGGAAGATAATAAGTAGGAGGAGGGAGGGGAGGGAATAATCGGAGAAGGAGGGGGAGGAAGAGGAAGGATGGGACGATATGAGGTGGAGGAAAGAGGAGACGGAGACTTCGTGGCTTCGCACCATCCCTTCCGCGACAGAGGCGCGCCGTGCCGCGCCGCGCCCTACGCGCCAGGAGGGAGGAAGAGAGAAGGAGGATAAGGAGGAGAAAGGTACGGAGAAGGAGCAGGAGGAGGAGAAGGAGGAGGAGAGGAGGATAAGCGAGGGATGAGGAGGGGGCTGGAGGAGGAAGAAGGAGAGGAGGAAACGGAGGAAGAGAAGGCGGAGGAGAAGGAGGAGGAGGAGGAGGAGAAGGAGAAGGAGGAGGAAAGATGAGCCTTCCGATCATTCCGCTCCTCCCGAATGCTCCTCCTCCTCCTCCTGCCTCCTCCTCTCCTCCTCCTCCTCCTCCTTCCTCATCCTCCTCCTCCTCCTCCTCCTCCCTCCCTCCCTCCCTCCCTCTTCCTCCTCCTCCTCCTCCTCCTCCTCCCCTCCTCCTCCTGCTGCTCCTCCTGCTGCTCCTCCTGTTGCTCCTCCTCCTCCTCCTCCTCCTCCTCCTCCTCCTCCTCCTTCTCCTTCTCCTCCTCCTCCTCCTCCTCCTCCTCCTCCTCCTCTTCCTCCTCCTACTCCTCCTCCTCCTCTTCCTCCTCCTCCTCCTCTCCCTCGCTCCTCCTTCCGTCCTCTCTCACCCTCGTCGTCCTCTTCCACCTCCTCCTCCTCCTCCTCCTGATGCTGCTGCTGCTGCTCCTCCTCCTCCTTGTCCTCCCCCTCTTCTTCTTTTTGATAAGAACAAGAAGTTCAGGAGAACCCTTGGAAGTTCAGGAACTTTGCCCCCGCACCGTCGGCGACTTACCTCCCTACTGCACGGGCACGGTGGTGGCATTTTTCTGGAGGCAGCTGGTCAAGTTTGGTCGTTTAGCCCGAGCAGCACTCTGCGCAACGGCCGACTGGAGGTCACCACAATCATAAACAATTGCCTGAGGAGTGCTCCCGCGGGCCTTCAGGGGGGCACCCAGTAGGGCTCCAAGCGGCCCGAGGAAGCCTCCAAATGTTGCGGCGCTAACCTCTGGACTGCACGGTGGGGGCACGCGAAGCGAACGTGCTATCGGCAGGCCCTCCTCTCTAGGTGTTGTGATTGCTGGGCGCAGCGGCGTAGACGACAGCCATGATGATTGTACGCGTTCATGTACGCGAAGGTCACCTGCATCACCAAGCCGGCTGCTGCCGTCGACGAAAATAATTGGAAATACCTTTGTCGCGAATGCAAGACAGCACCAAAACCCAGAACGTCCGCCATTACCCGCATAGGGTAAATCCGACTCGTGATGGCTAGGATGTGTTGTGTGCAAGTGCACGCACCCTTGTCGTTCATCGCGCCCCACTCCTGTCGCCATACTGCATTGCCCGTTCACTTGACTATCCCATGTAGCATCGTGGGTCATCACACGTCCGCATGGGGCTCAAGTCCTCACGCAGGCAATGCCATATTCCTAGCCGCAAGTTGGCTCGCCAGTCCTGCCACAGGCAAGATGGTCATGCCGATTCAGCTGTTGAAGCGGTTGGTCGATGTCACCGACACAGTGCTAACACTGACAAACACAATCGCTGGTGCAGCCCTCCGTGCAAGAAAGAGCCGTTACACACGCCCGCACCACGGGCATGTGCTGGGGGACCCGAATTTGAAGTCGTGCATCTGGCAGTCGATCAATCGCTGGCGCGACTGCCACCAACCAACACGACGAATACGACTAGTCACAGCCGATACTGACCGTACTGCCACCACCAGAAGAAAAACACACAGCCGATCCTACCTTCTGGAGGGCCAGACTCCCCAACCCTCACCACCGTAGGCCCCCGTGCTGGCGGCACTGCGTGCGAAGAGCGGGAGGGGATATGGGTAGGCCGAAGGCGTGCCGACTAGTACAGCTTCAGGTACCCTGGCACGGGCAGGCGGCGCACCCGACGGACGAGAGAGAAGGGGCTGGGCGAGGTGGCCGACTCGCACCCCTCCCCAGCTTCGGGCGACAGTGGGGCTGCGCGACACGTCGCCCGGCACTGCTGCCTCTGGATGTGTTGGCCATGGCATCCTGGAGTGCCCCAAGACAGCCAGATCGACCCCCACTCTTCAGGAGGGAAAAAAACACACAGACACAATTAATCGTCGACTCCCAGGAAAATATGGGAAAGTATGGGAAGTGGGGGGGAAGACAAAAACCCCAAACAATTAAGGAAAATGTCCTGGGGCCCCTTCAACTCTGTCTGCCAGCTGCCCCGGTGGCGGTCCCCCGGGCCTCCAGGAGGCAAGCCAGCGGGACAGGGCGGAGGCACACAACACCCTGAGGAGGGACCCGGCGCGAGCTCCGCAAGACTGCAAGGCCAGCGAATTCCAGAACACCCGAAGGGGTCTCCCCAGAGGAATGCCGTGGAAGCCACCTGCGGTGCCCCTCGACGACAAAACAGGCTCGACGCGCGCCTCTCAAAGCAAGCCGGAGCTTCGACTAACGAGTTTGCCCCCCCTCCCTCCTCCAACTTTTGGAACCCTGCTTGCTGAAAAACGGCACGGGCGCGAGGGCCTCCTGGGGAGGTTGGAGTGAGCCCCGCCTGGAGGAGGCGGCAGAGATCGCTCACAGCCGGGGCCGTTGGGCCTCGCAGCGAAGTCCCCCAAGGATCGAGCACGGGTGGCGCAGGCTTGCGTTTAGGTCGGGCGTGTCCTCCTGCAGGCGGGTTTTCGACGACAAGTTAAGCATACCCCCAAAATAGCCCAGCACTAATAACAAATAATCCAACAAAATAATCCCCGACTGTGTTTTGGCTATTGCTACATTCCCCCTGTAGAGGGACATGCCCGACTTCAGCTCACGTGGCGCGCTGTGGGGTTCGCCACAGGTGCAGCCGGGAGCCGGGCACCAGAGCTCTTGAGATGGAGAGCCCCGCACCTCGCTCCCTTTCCACAAGGAGAGCCCAACATCGGATCGACAAGTCGGAAATCGGCGACCGACATGAAGCAGCTCCACCTCCTCCTCCTCCTCCTCCTCCTCCTCCTCCTCCTCCTCCTCCTCCTCCTCCTCCTCCTCCCCCTCCTCCTCTCTCTCCTCCTCCTCCTTCCCCTCCCCCTCCCCTCCCCCTCCCCTCCCCTCCCCCTCCCCCTCCCCCCCCTCCCCCCTCCCCCTCCCCCTCCCCCTCCTCCTCCCCCTCCTCCTCCCCCTCCCCCCTCTCCTCCTCCTCTCCTCCTCTCCTCCACCTCCTCCTCCCCCTCCCCTCCTCCTCCTCCTCCTCCTCCTCCTCTCCTCCTTCCTCCTCCTCCTCCTCCTCCCCTCCTCCTCCTCTCCTCCTCCTCCTCCTCCTCTCCTCCTCCTCCTCCTCCTCCTCCTCCTCCTCCGCCTCCTCTTCCTCCTCCTCCTCCTCCTCCTCCTCCTCCTCCTCCTCCTCCCTCCTCCTCCTCCTCCTCCTCATCCGCCTCCGCCTCCGCTCCGCCTCCGCCTCCGCTCCGCCTCCCTCCCTCCTCCTCCTCCTCCTCCTCCTCCTCCTCCTCCTCCTCCTCCTCCTCCTCCTTCTCCTCCTCCTCATCATCCTTCTCCTTCTCCTCCCCCTCCAGATCAGCGGTCGACACGTGAAGAGGATTGGCAAAAAAACGGCAGCCAAGCCGGGAGAAGTTGAATCTCGGCAGGCGTCGGCAGGCTGGTAGTGCCTCCGTGGAGACGGCGGAGCCCAAGTCGAAGAATCCAGAGTCGAGTCACGCCACGGATAGCCAGACATGCGACGTCCTGATTTTTCCAAGGCGGCGTCCCTGAAAATCCGACCCTTTCCCTGGGACCGGTTTGTCGTCCAGAGCCGTTTCCTGACGGTCCCGAGGCCCGGCGAGGGCCCCCCGGGGCCGAAAATAGCCCGCGACCTCCCGTCCTGCGTTTTTCACGGCGCGATCGTGTCTGGGAAGCACGTCGAATCGAACCGGAAGAGTCGGCGTGAGCTCTGCTGGCCCCTCGCAGCCCGCGACCTCCCCTCGAGCGGCGAGGCGGTGCGAGAGCGAGCTGCCAGGCGTGGCGCTCCCCTGCGACGCCGGGGCCTCCGCCCCTCGGGGGGGGAGCCCGCGCAGCTCTGCCCTCCCGCTCCGCTGCCTCGTGCTGGCTGGTGCTGAAGGCACGCCGCGTCGGACCCAGACATGATCGCGTCGTGAGGAGGAGGAGGAGGAGGAGGAGGAGGAGGAGGAGGAGGAGGAGAAGAGGAGGAGGGCGGGACATGTGTGGCAATTTTCGGCCCTGGGGGGCCCTCGCCGGGCCTCGGGACCGTCGAAAAACGAATCAGGACGGCAAGCCCGTCCCCGGGAAGGGGTCGGGACTTCCAGGGACGCCGCCCTGAAAAAGATCAGGACGTCGCATATCTGGGGAGATTCCACGACCAGCGCGGCTTCTGAGGAGCTTCTGCGGGGGTGGAGCCCGCCAGGTGCAGCCAGACCTAGGCCAGAGGAACATCCCTCAAGAGCGCGAGACCCTCCATGGGCCAAAACGAACAGAGCATCCGAGGGTGCCCTCCCCAGGATGCACAAGAGCATCCCGCACCCGCGAAGAACATTAGGGCGCCCTCCCCGAACCGACTTAGGTCTCGGTCCGCCGCCAGACCTAAATTTGTTGGTCGAAACTCGGATCTCCGGCGGCCGTTTGGGACGATCCTGGCACCCCCGGAACGCTCTCGGCGAGACGCAGCTGCTGGCAAGCATGCCGCGGCTGCAAAAACCGCCGAGAGCCGACGAACCGACGAACCTCCCCGAACCGACCTCGATCTGATACCTCGCTCCGACCGTAGCCCCTTCTGAACAGAGCGGCTGCTTCGCACGTCCCGGGAACGAGCCCGCGCCCCGCCACGAGCCCGCTGCCCCCGCCCCCGCCCCCGCCCCCGCTGGGGGCAGCGAGGGGGGGGGGAGGGGGCGACGTGCCCGGAGCGGCGTTGCAGGTCATATGCGCCCTCGCTTCCTCTCATCCTCTCCTTCTCCGCGCTCTGGTGCGCCCTCGCCCACACTCCTCCTCCTCCGGCTCCTCCTGCTCCTCCTCCTCCTCCTCCTCCTCCTCCTCCTCCTCCTGCTCCTCCTCCTCCTCCTCCTCCTCCTCCTCCGCTCCTCTTCCTCCTCCTCCTCCTCCTCCTCTCCTCCTCCTGCTCCTCCTCCACCTCCTCCTCCTCTCCTCCTCCTGCTCCTGCTTCTGCTCCTGCTCCTCCTCCTCCTCCTCCTCCTCCTCCTCCGCCTCCTCCTCCTCCTCCTTCTCCTCCTCATCCTTCTGCTCCTTCTGCTCCTTCTGCTCCTCCTGCTCCTCCTCCTCCTCCTCCTCCTCCTCCTCCTCCTCCTCCTCCTCGCCCACCCTCCCCCTCGTTCGTGCCGTGTGCCACCGCTCCTCCACACACCCGTTGGGCTTGAGCATGGCAGGCCCCAGGGTTCGCAACCAGGTGCGCGTGGTGAGGGGGGGGGAACGGGGGTGACGGAGGAGGACGAGGTCGGGGAGTGAACGAAGGGAGGGCACGATGGGGTGCAGTGGGAGGGGTGTGCAGGGCAGGAGGGAGGAGCAGAAGAGGAAGACGAGGAGGGGGGATGAGGAGCGAAAGCAGCCGCACGAACTGCGGCAGGAGAGAGGGATCATGACTCACACACATAAATGTATAGAGAGAAACTCATACTTCAGCAAGAGCGTGCTGCTGTAATGGACGAGCTAAGGGAACAGGCGCGCGCGCCTATCTCGCACGCGAATAATATCCAGAACGCGTTCCAGAGCGTAGTGAGCGACAACCTTAGAGCCAGGGAGGGCGTCAACGCTCAATCAGGCGAGGCGAGGCCGATTGCACACTGAGTGCGGCCCACCATCTGAGCGGAGGTGCTTTCACGCGCTCAATAATACTGAACCTTGACTTTGGCAAGCAGCGGCGGCAACATAATAATACATTGGGGGAGACAGAGGGGCGCTATACAGCGAGACATAGGGATGCTATATCTATATCGAGAGAGGGGGAGAGAGAGAGAGAGAGAGAGAGAAATTGAGGTCGAAACGCTTTTGTTGAAAGGAAGGCGGAACACTATGACAACGGGGGTGGCGCGATAGAACGAGAACGAACCATGTGTACATCTATATATACACGTGTCAGATAACGTGGGCCCCAGACGCTGTGCTTCTAGAAATGTATGTTGTGTAAACTATATGGAGCAACCTCCGTGTTGTAATTTACCCTGCCGGACTGAAAAATGTCAACTCCACGGCTCGCGCAAACATCCCGCCCACCCACCCGCAACTTGGTTAGCAAAACCATACGGCGGCAATTGCGATGAGTGCTTGACGTTGGCTGGTGCATCTCTGCGGCCGTGCTAGCCCGCGCATGCTCGCGCGCGCAGCGGCCAGCTAGCGCGGCGCGACCGACGCGGCCGCAGTGGCGCTGACCGCTGGGCACTTCCAACGGGCATTTCAGTGCGAGTTGATGACGTGGGCGGGCGCGGTATCATGTCGACGCCGACAACGGAAGACATGATGATGAGTGGCGATGGTGGTGACGATGGTGGCAATGACGACGACAAGGTCAATGACGGCGCCAATGTTGATCACGCCCGCCGATAACGATGACGATGCCATCGCGTCGGTGATGAAGGTGTTGGAAGGAATTTGACATGCGCACGCGGCCGACGCGGGCGAGTGGCCCGCATGGCATTATTTGACACGGATCGTGCCCCGCAGCACGCACGCAAGGGCGTTCGGATGAGTCCGGCATGCGGCGCGAGAGGCCCGTTTGGCAGAATATGATGGCAATGTTGAACGCCCGATGGTTTTCCGAAGAATTCGCCAGAGCGCGCGCGCAGGTAATTGTTGCAAACTGATGTTGCACAGCAGTGTCTTTGCTGTGTGTATATATATATGCTTTCGGATCACTCGTATCCTTGCGGGGCCTAAGATGTTTGAATGATTTTGGCATGCGCGCGCGACGACGCACGCGCGTGCACGTCGTCCCATTTGTTGCAAGGGGTTATTGCGACAGCACGTGCGCAAGGGGGTTCGAGCGATTTTGGCATGCGCGTGCGAGAGTCCCGTTTGATAGCATTCTATGATAAGGTTGGGTACAACAACCGATGTCTTTCGTAAGACTTCGCAAGAGCGCGGGCGCAGGCTTTTTGTTTTGTGAAACCCCGTGTTGCAAAACCTTGTGATTGTGTATGTTTTCGGAACGCTCGACCTTGAAATCCTTAGAGGGCCTAAGGTGTTTGAAGATTTCGGCATGCGCGCCCGACGGCGCGCGCGTGTCCACTTCGTTCCATCTGTTGCAAGGGGTTCTTGGAAACTTACGATTTGCAATAAACGAATGCGCGTGCATAGTATTTTTGGCAAGGGATGACGGGGGGGAACTGATACAGGCCTGCCTGGGATAGTACGAACTTATATGGAGGATGGCCGATGGGGCAAAATCGTGTGAATTGCAATACGAAGAGGTGTACCGTTAATCCCAGGGGGGGGAGGGGGTAGATCCGAATACGAGTTTGGAATGGAAAATCTAAGTGTTTGTTGCAATTGAGTTCGGTTGACCTGTGTATATGTGTATATATGCATATATCGTGCAATCTACGTTGTGCAACTTATGAGGAGCAATCCCTGGTGTACCATATATGTATATATACACGCTGCAATCGGTATTGGCCAATATGTGGAGCCATCTTTGGTGTGCAAATTGAAAAGAGCCACGCATGTGGTGCAAACTATGTTGTGCAATCGGCGTTGTGCAATATATTGTGTGCCACCTATATTGTGCAATCTAGATAATGCCATATGGGATGCACTCTATGTGTTGCAATATCGGTTGTGCAATCCAAGTTGTGCAATCGACGTGATGCTGCCTACCGGCGGCCACGAGCGGCGATGGCGGCGACGGGGCGGCGACAACGGCAACATAGCCGCCAGACCGACAGACAGGCCCAGACGACGGGCGGCGACGAGACGGCAACGGGGCGGCGACGGCGGGAACGTAGCTGCCAGACCGACAGACAGGCCCAGATCCTCTGAACAGAGCTAAGAAGCCCGAAGTGCAAGCACTGTTTGGGGAAGTCCGCCAAAACCCGCTTGCAGGGGGTGACGAGGCGTGTGAGACATGTGGCTGTCCCCCACTCCCTTTCCCCCCCTGGGGTCCAACATGCCATTCTAGGGGGGGGGGCGAGCTGGTCAACGCACCCCCGGGGCATCTGGAGCCCCTAGCAAGCTCCAAGACAGTCCAACAGGGCCCATACAGAGCGCCGAGACAGTCGAAGAAAGCGTTTTGACGGCCCAGGGTAGCTCCACGACGTCGAGATGGCCCACGAGGCCCCAAAGACAGCCCAAAAACGCCTCCAGAGGATCGCCAAGAGGGCCCCAAAAGGCCAAACCCGTTCTTTTCTGGGAAAACGTACATGTTCAGCACATCATTCGCATTCTACGTTTTGACAGCGAACACGACGCCCCAAGTGGCCCCCAAGATCGCCCCACGACGGCCCACGATGCCTCCAAGAAGGCAACAAGACGGGCCCCAGGGGTCCCCCAAGACGGCCCAAGACAACCCCTGGAGGGCCCCAAGAGGGCCCCAAGAAAGCCCAAGAGCGGGAATACGAACTAACATTTCGAGTCTTTCCCACCGAGACGGCCCCTCGAGCCCCGCAGAGGCCCCCAAGGGCCTCCCAAGAAGCCCCAAGAGGCCTCCTAGACGCCCCCAAGAAGCCCCCAGAGGCCCCCACGAGGCCCCAGAAAGCCTCCCACATGCCCCACAAGAGTTCTCCGAGTTGCCCTAGAGATGCAGCCCAAGTGACCCTCCGATTCATCAAGGAGTCTCCTGAACCAAGACATAACTTCCACGATCGTCTCAAACACCCACTCCTTCCGGGAGTCGGCGGAATTGCGCAAACCACGTGAATAGGAAGCCATGAGTGCAAGCACTGTTTGGAGACTATAGTTGTATTGATATATACATATACATATATATACACATAAAGAGAGAGGGAGAGAGAGATAGAGAGACAGCGAGAACAAAGAGAGAGAGAGAGGGAGATGGACACATCGATCCACGAATTTCCTCGGCGGCAGCCCACGGGACCACGGGGCAACGCGCACGCCCTCGACGACCACGCAGCGAAGCCAGACCCCCATCAGGGGCCAGAAGTGGTCCTCCTCCCAGCGTCCTGGCTGCGGCTGGCGACCCCGTTCTGCGCAAGAGCTCGGCGTGGTGGGGGGGGGCGGACGGGACCACGGGGGCGACGCGCTCTCGCGCACTGCACCTCCGTGCCACAGCTGTCCAAAGACGATTCCGCTTCGTCCGTTTACGACATGTGGTATTCCAGCGGGGCCCTAAGAATTCCCAGGCATATGCAATATACATATGTATATACACACCTATATGTATATATATACATACATATATATACATATATATGTATATGTGTATGTATATATGCACATCTCCATACACATACAAGCATGCGCAGATGTGCATAGGCATGTCCACCTATAGTATGCATGTTTATAAACAAACACATGTTAGACTACAACAAGAGTATCCCATGAGTCTATCGTTATAACCAATCTGAACACCTACGTGAATATGCATATGCAGAGTCCTGCATTTCTCAATGCGTCCATCTGTGCTCCTACTTTCCCGATCGAAGTCCTGCGTTCCCTATGCACACTGGTATGTCCGCACACGCTGCTTCCCCTATGTGTTCCCACACGCTCTCGTTGTTTCATATGACTTCCTGCTGCTCATGTGCTTTCCAACATGCCTCCACTTGAGTCGCATGGAGACAAATTGGGTCCCACGGATTCAGGTGGACAACTCCCTCGGGAATTTCTATGGCCTGCTGCCCTGAAGCTCTCGGAAGCCCGCGACCTAGAGGCACCCACGCAGCCGACCCCCTCCGCAGGGCCCCCCGCTGTCGCACTCCGACGAGGGCGCGCCCTGCCAACATGTGCGGGCGGATGGCAGATCTAAGGCGGCGGCGTGGTGTAGACAGACGCCACCTGGCGATCCAGGGCGGCCACCCAAACCCGCATGGAGCCACCTGCCAGACTCGCTCCATAGTCCAGGGCGTTCTGGGCAGAGCATGGTGGCCGGGGCCCCGCTGAATCCTCTGGGAGTGCACTGCCGAAGCATGGCTTCCATGAGGCCGACCCCTGACTCCAAGAACGAGTGGACAGCTTTGCCCGAACCCTAGGGATCGAAAGCGATATCCCCGCCGCGCTGCTCCTTAACGCACTCGGCAGCCTTGGCCGCCCGCTGACCTCCTGCACCAAAAATGGGAGAAAGCACGAAGCCTCGCCGTGTCAATGTTTATTGCAAGGCCTGCTCGGCAGCCACCCAGTGCCATGCAGCTTGGAGTCGTTTGCTTGGCCCCGGCCAGCAGATGTACTTCCAGGGCCGACTTGTTAATACCTGCTGCTTTTGACGCATTGCCCAGAGGAAGACAAACACTGCACGAACACAAACTTTCGAAGGTCCGTGCGGGTTTCTTGGATCTGCGCTGGATCTCCCTGGCGCGCGGAGCGCGCCAGGGGCGACGCTGGAGGCGCCGCCAGGGGGTTCCACCACAAATCCAAAAAATCCGCGCGGAACGTCGAACCATTGTGTGTATGCTGTTGCTTTGTTTTCGATTCCCACGGGCTGTGGTGCTGCTGCTGCGCTTGTCACTGCGATGAAGGGCAACGATAAACGGGGGACTGGCATAGGCATAGGGGGGGAAACGTCGACCTGGAATCGTCGAGATATATCGCCGACGGCGATCCATGGGCGGGCGATTGGGGGTCGATGCGTCCCCCCCTATGCCTATCCCCCCCCCCCGCTCCCCCCTACCGTTGCTCCTGACTAGATGGTGCTACCTTTAGGTCGGGCATGTCCTCCTACAGGCGGGTTTAGGACGGAAGCAAATGTCAACAAACGCGCGAAAATAATCAAAAGCGCACGAAAAATCGTCCCGAGACAATTTTTCACTATTCTCGAATCTTCCTCCTGCAGAGGGACATGCCCGACTTCATGCTACCTTCCCTTCCCGCCGCCGCCGCTGCCGCCCAACGCCGAGGCTCCGCGCGGGCCTCGCGCACCGACTCCCGCGCGACCCCCGCCAGCGTGGTGCAGTACAGGAACTCCGCGGCGAACTCGGCGAGCAGAAGCCCGCAGAATGCGTCGAGCCCCCCCCTCCATGCCAGGGCACCACGGCGGGGCCCGAGCTCGAGTAGGCGATCGATTACAGAATTGATCCACCCCAAATCTGATTTCTCTTTTTTCACAATAAAAGGAAAGAAACAACAACTGCATGAATATAAACATTTGGCGCTCCGCGCGGATTCTTGGAACTGCGCTGGGCCCTCCGTCCCTGGCGCGCGGAGCGCGCCCAGGGCGGCGCCGGAGGCGCCGCCAGGGGGGGCCCGGCGCGGATCCAAGAGATCCGCGCGGAGCGCCATCAATTTATGTTTAACCCGTTTTTCTTATTCGAAAGAAATTGTTCTTCCGTCGAACCTACGAACAAAAACTGAGAGGCTAAGTCCAGACGGATAATTATACAGACCGATGAGACCGAGCACTTTGTCTGGGCCTACTCCGTATGGACTGAGCCTCTCATCAGCAGAGGCTGAGTCCTGACTGAGCAAGTCCACACGGAGACCGAGCACGCCGTCTGGGCTTACTACTCAGTCTGGACACAGCATCCTCCGACCCAAGTCTCAGGTCGGGCAAGTCCGCCTACAGGCGGGCTTTGGAAGACAAAGATCAAACATAGTCAGTACATGTGCCAAACAATAACCAACAACATCGTCCCCATACTATTTTGTTTGGACTATTCTCGAGCATTCCCCCTGTAGAGGGACACGCCCACTTTTTGTAAGTCGCAGAGGCCGGCGGCCGCGCGCTCCGCGGGTGTCAAGCCCGCGCTGGATCGCTGCCAGGCGAACTGCACGCAGGCGGGCGGGAGGACGGCGGAGGATGAGGAGGGCGGATGAGAGGGCGGATGAGGAGGAGGAGGAGGAGGAGGAGGAGGAGGAGGAGGGAGGAAGGGAGGGAGAGCGGAGGAGGAGGAGGAGGAGGAGGAGGACGACGAGGAGGAAGAGGAGGAGGAGGAGGAGAAGGAGGAGGAGGAGGAGGAGGAGAAGGAGGAGGGAGAACTGTCCCACACGCCTCCGACGAGATCGACGACGGCGCTGCCTCGAGAGCGCACCCGAAATCGGCTCCACCCGCGCCGGCCCCACCAGGGCAGGGAGCAGGGAGAGCGGGGCGGGCATCCTGGCCTGGTCAAGCAAGTGCGTGCCCAGAGATGCTCGCGCCGTGGACTTATCACAGCGGGAGGTCTCTGTCAATTCTCGGCGTCCGTGGGGCTCTCGCCAGGCCCCGGGACCCCCAGGAAGAACTCGGGAGGAAGCACCGGTCCTGAGGAGAAGTGGTCGGGACTCCTGGAGGCCCCGCACTGAAAAAATCAAGACCTCGGGTGTCTGGGTGTCTGCACGGTGAGGTTCCCCCCTGGGGAACGTTTTCTTATGCGGCGCTTCGACGTTGGGCGGAAGGGAGGGGGGATGGGGGGGGATCCAGCTCCAGACCTTTGCTTAGCGCGACTGTTTGCAACAGAGCGCCATGGAGGAGTCTCCACCTGCTCGAAACAGGCGCCCAAAACAGCCAAGATCTACTCCATGGGGGGGAGGGAGGGTGCGAGGGCCCGCAACGATCGGCGAAACAATGAATAAGAAAACGACGACCTGGGGGAAAACTTCACCGTCTGTTCAGGAACGCTTTTTCCTTCAAAGTCCGTCTTCTCGAGCTTTCCGCCATGGGGGGGTCCCGAGACAGGTCTCCGGCCGCGCAAGGCAAAAGACACCCCGCGAGCCTGTCCAGCGCGAGCGCCTGGAATAGGTACGGTGGGCAGCGCCTCTGGCTGGCTGGACTGGCCTGGCTTTCGGCACAACAAATCAGTCTGGACATCTCCTCCTCCTCCTCCTCCTCCTCCTCCTCCCCCTCCTCCTCCTCCTCTTCCTCCTCCTCCTCCTCCTCCTCCTCCAACACCTGCCCCTCCTCCTCCTCCTCCTCCTCCTCCTCCTCCTCCTCCTCCTCCTTCTCCTTCTCCTCCTCCTCCTCCTCTCCCCCCCCCCCTCCTCCTCCTCGTCCTCCTCCTCCTCGTCCTCCTCCTCCTCCTCCTCCTCCTCCTCCTCCTCCTCCTACCTCTGGAGCCCTCGCGCCAGACGGCGTGCCGGAGCCCCCCGTGGGGCTCCCGACGTCCCGCAGCAGAGCCTCGGAGAAGGGCGAGCTCCCACCCGGCCGCCAGAAGAGCGTCACGCGGAAGTGCGTGCAGCTCGCCATCGCTCGGACGTCCATTCCCTGTGTTTTTTTCGGTTTCGTGCGTGGTTTTTTCGCCAAATGATCAAGGATGCTCATCGATGGCCCTCGCCGAAGGAAACATGCACACGTCCGAGCGATGCCAAGTGCAGAGTGACGACCAGAACCAAAGTTCGCAGAAGAAGCGAAACCGAAATGCGCTCCCGAACTTGCGCGCTCCCTCCAGCTGCAGGGAGGTGTCTGCGCCGTCGGCTGAAAAAAAAGTCATGACGCCGCGCGCGCTGCTTGCCCGCTCCACGAGAGCACTCTCGGACGCCATGGGCCGGACGATGCCGCTGTGATAGAAGAAGGAAAAACGGCATGCGCATAAACTTTCGACGCGCGGAGCGCCAAACGTTTATGCTTGTGGCGTGTTTTCTTCTTCGACCCTCGGACGCCATAGGTCGGACGATGCCGTGGTCAGGCCCGCTCGATAGTCGCTCGTGCCTCTTGTAGGCCCACTCGACGTCGACGTGGCTCAGGCCTGAGCTGGCTCGCCCAGAGGGAGGCCAGGGCGGGGCCCAAGGGCGGGGCTGGGCCCCTGCAGACAGCAGTGGAGGGGCGAAAGGGAAGAGGGAGGGGGATGCCAAGGGGGGGACGTGGAAAGATCGGGGCGATCGAGATGGGTGCGGAAACAATAGGCACAAAAGACCGGCAGCGATTCTGGTCCATCTTGAACAGGCGCTGTCCGCGCCGCCGCGGACCGTGCCCATTTGAGACAGAAGGCCTCCTGCCCAACAGCTGCCGCTGATGGTCTTGGACAACATTTGTTGTTTGGCATTCTACCCATTTTCTTCGTACCCGCTTCGGGCGTCCAAAAAAGCAGAAGTCAAGGGAAAGGGGTAGCAGGGAGGGAGGGAAGGGGGAACAAGGGGAAGGAAGGAAGGAGGAGGAGAGAGAGAGAAGCGCAAAGGAAAGGGGCACGAACCAGGAGCATGCTGTCCGGGTGCGCAGCAGAGTGGCGACATTGGCTGATTGGCTGGCGACTGCGACTGCGACTGCGACTGCGAGTGCTGTCCGGGCGCGAAAGAGATATGCCGGCGGTGCCCAGGAATGCCTGATGCCTGCGCTGCAAGAGAACACGGGGCGGGGGCAAGTCGGGCAATGGGGAGCAATCGGTCAGTGCGAGGGCCGCAGGATGCTGCAGGGCTGACGGGTGGATTCTTTCAGAATGGCATAGACGATTGATTCGCTATGGATGGGGGATCTCGCGGCCACCAGGAGGCCGCCAAACTCTAGCTGTCAGGCAGCATTCCAATCAAAAGGGCACACGCGTACGCTTGTTCAGCTGCGTATGACTGCTTGTCGCAAGCCTGCTCAGGCAGCTTTGAGTTCCCCCGCAGACCCCGACGAGGTGATACGCCCAAGTTCATCCTGAGCTCTGTCGGCACATGTGTATATATATATATAGATGGAGAGAGAGAGAGAGAGAGAGACATTGCAAGTGTATTCTGAAATGCGAACCCTGCTAGTCAACAAATGCTCAATCTCTGCCTGCGTCAGAATTTTGCATGTGGGCGTTCAGTCGCCCCTGTCTACCCTGGCAGGAGGGCGTGCCTACATTCCAGCGGAAGGAGGGCATTTCGACAAACATGTGCACTGCAAGGCAGCAGCTGCGCGGCAGATGTCCCGCATCTGCATACAAAAATCGATTTCGGCCCGCTATGCCCCCGCAAATCGACTCAACACCGAACACGCTTCGAAACCCGTCCTAGAACTCCGGGCCCTTCCACCCGTAAAAACTAACGGCCTCAGAGATCAGCGGGAGTACAAGGAGAGCGAAAAGGACTGACATGTACGACCTGGCGCGTTTACCCATTGACGACCGACGGCGGCACATCTCTCGCAGTGCAAGAGTTCTGCGTGCACAACCTCGTTGTCGAGCCAGAGCTCCGCACCGAAATTTCCGTTCTACCCAGAAATGCTCCGCCACCGTGCCCCAAGGCACGAAGTGGAGTGTCCTCAGGTGAAGGCTCCACAGGAGGTGGGCGTGCTGGGCCGAAACCCGGCCCTGCCTCCGCCGGCCGGTGGCGCGTAGCGCGCAGCCCACATGAATCCAGTAACTCTGGGTTTCTGGACTAAGCGTGGGCCCCCCCCCCCCCCCCCCCGAACGGGGGTCCACCTCGCCTCGCCCTCGCGCCGCGACGGGGGTCGGAGCGCCTTCGGCGCGCAGCGACTGTCCGCGGCGGGGGGCCAATGTGGGGCTGTCGGCGGGGGCCGGCGCTCCCCCGGCGCTCACTGAGAGCCTCGGGGAAGCCCAGAGGGGGCCGCCGCGGCAGGGCGAGGGGCCGGCCGGGGGCGGCCCGTCGGGCGGGGCGGCAGGGAAGGCCGCCGGCCGAGCAGAGGGCGAGAAAAAGGGCCGTGCACCTCCGGGGGCGCCGAGCTCGGGGGGGGTGCTCAGGCCCCTTAGGGTCGAGCGCAGTGAATATTTCTATATATACAGGCATATATACACACATATATATATATATACACATACATACATACATCTATATATGTATGTAGATACACATATATACACATATACTTATATACATATATACATATATACATATATACATATACATACATACATACATACATACATACATACATACATACGTACGTACGTACGTACGTACATACATGCATACATACATACATACACTCATACATACATACAAACATACATACATACATACACACACATACATACATACATACATACATACATACATACATACATACATACATACATACATACATACATACATCCATACATGCATGCATGCATGCATGCATGCATACATCCATCCATCCATCCATCCATCCATACATACATGCATGCATGCATGCATGCATGCATGCATGCACATACATACATACATACATACATACATACATACATACATACTACGTACATACATACATAATACATACATACATACATACATACAACCATACATGCATACACACATACATACATACATACATACATACATACATACACATGCATGCATGCATGCATGCATGCATGCATGCATACATACATACATACATACATACATACATACATACATACATACATGCATGCATGCATGCATGCATGCATGCATACATACATACATACATACATACATACATACATACATACATACATGCATACATACATACATACATACATACATACATACACACATATATATATATGTGTATACTCGTAAGACGCTCTGACGGGGCGCGCGGCCCGGAGCACCCGCCGTTCCTGGGCGCTCCCAGGGCGCGTCTCTCCCAGCGTGGCTTCTCCAGAGGCGAGGACGCCCCCCCAGGCAGACCAGTGGGTCTCCACGAGGCTCCCCAGGAGGGCCCACGGGGCTTCCGAGACGGCCCAGGGACGCTCCACGACGCACGGGGCGGCCCCAAGACTGGCCATGAGGCCTCCAATACGCCCCCGAGTGGGGCTCATAGGGGACACCCAAGAGGCCCCCAAAAGAGTAAGATCAGAGTTTCCTCAGGTTTCGAAAAAATGTCCGCCGTCTCGCCTTTTCGGGCCTCCAACGCTCCAAGACGACCCAGCAGGCTCCACGATCACCCCAATAAGCAAAAGGGCCCCCCAAGGCGGCCCAAGAGGGGCCAAGAGAGGGCCAAGAGAGCGAATACGAACTTGGCCTCGAGGAGATCCCAGGAGGCGTCCAAAATCATGCCCTGAGAAGCCCCCTGGAGGCCCCCGAGAGACGCCGAGGCACCCCAAAACCACTTCCGAGACCCTTCGGACAGGCCACCCACGAGATCCCCACAGGCATCCAAGAGGCCTCTGACCTACAGCCTGGGCGCGGTGGCGGGACGGGCCGAAACACATCACAGCCGGACATCTAATCAAGAAACACAAAATTAAAGAAACCTAGGCCAGCTTCACAGAAATCTCTCCAAACAAACCTGGGCCAACTTGTCGCGTGAGCAACGACATGGGGGCGAACGTAAACTGGGCCAGCTTTCCGGCACGACGGTCAGGAAGCGCTGGCCCAGCTTTTCGGGAGACGGTCTCCTAGTCAGATGCTCGACTGTAGATACTCGATCCAAGTCCGATCCGATAGCTGACCACACATTGAACGAAACCGGCGCTTGGAGGGTTCGGGGGCGGACGTAGCGGCACAAATGGGCGGGAACAGGTGCGAGCGGGCCTACCTTCTCGACGTCGGCTCCGTTCGCAGAGGCGATGGCAGGGCACACGAGAGGGTGAAGCTCCTCATGGGCCCCCAGATCTTGCCAGAATCGGCGCGTTCCCCCAGACACGCGACCTGGCATCCCCTGCGGGATGTCCATCGGTCGACATCTCTGCCAAGGCTCACACTTCTGTGATCCATGATTTCGACGATATACACATACATATAGGTGTACATATGCATGTCTGTATATCTATAGGTGTGTGTGTGTGAGGCGGCCGCACAGTCGTTCACTGTCCCTGGGCGCGTGGCTGAAGGGAGTTCACGCGGTGCGGAGTGTTGTTGATGTTGAATTCTCATGAGTGAAGAATAATGAGTGTTGATCCCCCACCCTCCGGTGACCAGATTGTTTTTCTATTGAAGTGCTTCCCCTGGGACCCCCACCATTTTGTCACAAAAAAATCAGGGAAGGTCACGGGGCTCAAACTGGCCCCCTGGCCCCCGGTTTATAACAACAACAATAATAACAACAACACACATCATTTTAAGACTGTTCGCCCTGTATCTGCTCGAGTGTCCAATCACACGTATTTCCCAAACCCTCGATACCCGCCCTCTTCATCTTCGATCGAACCCCTTTTGGGGGGTATACCTTTCTTCCCTGCAGGCCGGGCCCCAGCAAGCGACGGGGCGGCCGCGGACCGTCGGCCTGGCCAGTGGCAGCGCTGATCGGTGGGGCGGCCGCGAACCGTCGACCCGACCCCAAGAGGGACGGACAGGGGACCGACCACGACGACGACGACGTCGACGACGACGGCGACGACGACGACGACGACGAGCGAAGGCGAGAGAGAACGACAGCAGGGCCACAAGGACACGAAGTAGGCCACGAAGGGCGACAGCGGGGACACGAAGGGAATGCGTATGGGGCCACGAAGAGCGCGAACGAGCGGGGACCACGAAGGGCAGATAATGCGGGGCCACGGAAGGCAACGCTGGGGCCACTGAGGGTAGCAACTGGGCCGCGTAGGACAGTGAGGGGGCCACAAACGGCGACAACGGGGCCACGAAGGGCATGCCCATGGGGCCACAACGGGCGCGAACGAGCGGGGGCCACGAAGTGCATACGTATACTGGGCCGCGGAGGGCAAGGACGGGGCCACTGAGGGCAGCAACGGGGCCACGAAGGGCAGCGAGGAGGCCACGAAGGGCGACAGCGGGGCCACGAAAGGCATGCATATGGGGCCACCACGGGCGCGAACGAGCGGGGGCCACGAAGGACATACACATATGGGGCCACGAAGGGCAGCGAGGGGGCCACGAAGGGATGCAACGGGGCCAC